GTGTTTCATTTTCACTGAGAGTTATTGTATATATTCAGAAATTATCAATTGTACCTAAACGACTTTTTACCCATACCTGATTTTGGTTTGTTTTATATTAGCTTGAACAAAGAAGATGCCTTTCAAATAGGTTGTCATCATTTTGTTTTTGTTCTGTACTTTTGAGAATGGTTGTTACTAAATTAATTTTGCTTAGAGTTTAGCCTTTAAAAAAGTTCAAACTGATAATAAGTTGTGTAAGTTACAATCTAGATGGGAAAACATAAAGAGCGTTTAGACATTTTTAACCGTATACCACTCGGCCTCAAACACAAATCGTAATTCTGAACTTGTAAAGTTGAACTTTCCATGTACAGATGGAAATCAACATTGTATAGGCATTCACACAGTCAGCATCTAGTAACTTGTTGTTACGTCCGTGAACTTCTTATGGATCACTGCACACATTTAAGAAAAGGCACCTGCTATAGAAAGCCACAACTAGACTTCCCAAAGTCCAGCATGCTATATTTTGTGTCCTCTAACCATATACTTGGAGTGTTACCGTTCATTTAAAGGCATTAATTGCTTGAAATGCGTACCTATACAAAGATCTGTAATTCACGACTGTTTAAACAATATTTTTTCAAAGCTTCCCCCAAAAACGTAAAGTTGCAAACAGTGAGCCGACTTGAGCACGTTTATCGAGAAGTACAAAGATACACATTTTGATCGGATGACGTGTTCTCACCCGACAGCCATTATTTTGGCGGGAAATCAGTGCCATATTCGCGCCAATTGCCTTTAGATTCACAAACGAAACATACAGGACTTCGTATCTATTGCCGATACAGAGATTGAGATAAAGGTAATTAAAATATTGAGTTCATAATTACTGTGTGATCAACACAAACGTGTTTTTTTTTTGCTGATAAGAATAGCTGACTTTTCAGGCTTAACCGTTGGATTTGTTTGTCCATGGAAAGTGCCGCGCAGTCACTGCTAAGGCTACATCATACACACACTGCCAATTAAGGTGCCAATAGTATGGATGGCTAAACTTGTTGAAAACACGTCTGGTTTGTGTGGTTTATAATTTGATTGTGTATGACTGCCATATCCCGTAAAGACAGGGGTTGATGGTGAAAACGAATGAATTAAAATGAAAAGAAAACCCTTTTCAACACGCTAATTTTTTTCCCAGCGATTATATGACAGACTATAATGAATAATCATATGAACCAAAATGGGGATTTCCCCAGATTATGTATGGAAAGCGAACCAGATATTCAGTGCTCTGTATTATTGAATATCGGTCTGTTGAGAATGGATTCTAGTTTAAAACCACGACTAAGCATAATTATGCTCTGTACTCTACTCAGATAGACTTGGTAAGTTTGCTTGGTGCTTGATTTATCAGAGTGAAAACCTAACTGAACATCGCACTTTTTAATACTTAAAGAAACAAATAGTGTTGATCATTTTTATAGCATTATCTTGTTTATTTCATTTTTTTTAATAAAACATTATTAGGCCCCCCCCAAAAAAAACAACAACAACAGTCTCTGGTAAGAAGGGCAGGTTTTAGGTGCAGTCATCTTTGGAGACCAAAAAGTAATCCAAAAGAACAGAAAGTAAAGAGTGTAAATGGATCTAATGTATATCTTGATCACCTTTAAGATATTTGAGTATTTTCTCCCAATTTGTGAAGCGAGGGTATTTATCACTGGTGCCTATGGGAATGTATTCAATGATCTCAACCCATGCACTGCTGAGAGTGGATGACGGCTTCGGTTTAGGTCATTTGACTTAAAAAGTGGCTGTACATGCGTGAGTTTACAGGTACAAAATCCACAGTACTGTTTTCAACCAAGGCTTTGGCACCACTATAAGTTACAAGTGAAAAATCCGAAGTACTCTTTGAACCAATTAAGTTACGGCAATACTACCAGTTGTCTTCAGCGTCTAGTCTAGTCTCTGAGTAGCTGATTTCAGACATCTAAAACTGATTTCCGATGTTCCCGAAATGGAGCACACTAATTTCCCGAAGCCACAGCAGGTGGCGAGGTCGTGGTTTCAGAAAATCCCCAAAAGGTCTAGATTGTGTTGTGAATAGGCTTCAATACTATATTCATCATACAGACAATATTTGGGGAAAGTTTATAAAATATTTCTGACATTTGCATCTTGTGAAGTTGAGGCACTTCGGTGAAGCCTTATGTTTCATCTCGGGAATAGAAGTCAACGATGCCCATTCTTTGAGTTTCTTAAGTCAGTGCGTGATGGTTGAGTGGAATCAGCGTATTGCATTCTTCACAAAGCCTTCCTAAATCTTACAAAATCCTTCATGAATTTTGAAGGAACTGAGGGTATAACAGTGAAGCATAAAACATTTCGAAAATGAAGATAAATTTAGCATATGTCTGATGACATGTCGTCAAACTATGTACGTTGCATTTTACTTTTACTTAGGAACCTACCAAGGCTGATTGACATCTGTTGTTCACCAATAACTTGATTCTCAAGTATTTCACACAAAATGCACCTACAATGACTTAATGCACGACTTGAACATTCACTTGTAAAATAAATTCAACTGTACACTAAAATGTTAAAGTTGCTAAGGACCAGTGGTCTTCACATTCCTTGGAACACATTTTAAAATACGCTCCTAATTCAAGACCGACTCATCGTTTTCCAACTGTGAACATTCAGGAAAAAATTGTCTCTCTTCGGTGTGCATTAAATCAGCCTAACGGTATCCTGCTTCAGTTCAAAACACTAGTGCCAGACTTCCTGTAACGTGCTAGCACGGTGCCAATTTAAAGGAAATGTGGAGTGTAGGTCGAGATATCTGATCTGAAAAAGGTTTGTTCTTCGGCAGCTGTTTTTTTTTTTTATTTCCTTGATAACGCAATGAACGTGAGTGGTTTATCGACACTGACAACAAAGCATGCTAGCCCCACCTACCAGGAATGGAATATTGGGGGGGGGGGGGGCTTATTCTGACTGGCATTTCAGGAATCTTGGTCCCGATGAGGACTACGAAAAAGTAGAAATGAAAGAAAGAAAGAACACTTATTGAAATTGATCAATGTTTTCAGTTATGAATGTATAAGTGTCCACGCTCAAAAATCTAATTGCTGTATTCTTTGTGGGATGAAAGGACTTGGGGACTATTTTGCCAGTTGCCATGGTAATGGCTCATTATGTGTTTTGGCCATTTTGGGGCAATTTTGAGGCTGCAAAAAAAACCCAAACAAAAAGAACATTAGCGTTATTTGAAATGTAAAGCTCATCAAGCCAAAATGCGAAGTAATGTCATAAAAGTAACTATATCACGACACAGTATCATCGTAACCCTTACAAGAAAAAAATAGAAACTTTTAAAAAAATCACCTTTACATTACTTGTAGGTCTTACAAATACATTACAGCATGATTTAGCACAAGCAAATTTTACCCACATTTTTAACCCTCCAAAGTGCAACTTGCCAGGGCACTCAGAATGATTTCTCTTTGGCTATAATTAGTAAGGACTATATAACCTTCGGACTAACGAACCTTCGGACTAATTAATGACCTTTTGTTCTATCTGGCTGTAACCGAGGAATGGACATCGGGAAATATTTCTCAAACAACAGTGGCATAGCCAAGTGGTGGTGGTGGTGGTGGGGGGAGGGCGGAGGTTGCTTGCAAGGAAATGTCTTTTTAACGATTTTGTGTAAGTTATTGAAACGAAGAGGAATACAGATTAATATTGTTTACTTCTCTTAACATCAGAGCTGTATGAGTTGTGAAGAACTTAATTAGAAAAAAGCCCTCTTGCGACAAAAGAGGTCCTGCCCCCCCCCCTCGAATTGTCAGCCCTTGTGGTAGCCTGGACATTTTTGGAAAATGTTGAGTCCGCCTTTGGTGCTCCCTCATAAAATGCTTGTGCCCCCCCCCCCTCCACCCCCATCCCCTGGGCCCCCACTGAAAAATTCCTGGCGACGTCACTGTTCAACAATAATTACACTATCCAACCATTTTAAAAGAAGAATTAAAACGGTGTTATTCTGAATCAATTTTGGTGTCAAGTTAATAATATTACACTTGCGAGCATTGACTCCTGTAAGGTTTACTTCTGTATACCACATGCATGCTGGCAGTGCCAGTGGCACCTCGATCAATGCCCCGGCTCTGTGACCATCCGAAACCAACGAAATGACAGGTGTGACGAGGATTTTTCATCTTCAGGTTTTATTAACGGCTTTTTTTCCCAACAAATTAGGGTATATTTTCTGGTTTTGCTTGTATAACTTTATGGTTGATGTCCATGCATGTATAAGCAGCAAACGTGTTCTCACAATGGCAATATTCTTCATGGGCGCTTAACTATAGGTCCAAAAGCTGAAGTGTTTACAGCGTTAATGCGATTGTTTACAAAGTCTTATGCCACCATGAATAGATAAAGCCAAATATAAGTGTATTTCCTGTTCACAGCTGATCGAGGCCCCTGGCTTAAGGCAATCCAGCACCGTACCCGTACAGGCCCTTGTTCTGCTTCAGCAACATCAATTCTTATCATGCGAAGCCAATATTCTAAACATTTCCAATGAGTTTTTATATTAAAAGCTCCAAAATGATATTCTTAAGTGAGAGACGAAGCCGCAGCTGGAGACGAATCCGTAGTTTGTAAAACCCCCCGAAGATAAAAACATGATCTGGTGCCCTGCCTCGTCGTGTACAAACCAGTTAAAACAATACCACATCAGGTGTAGTCTGTGCTACCTTGCCAGCCAGGGTTCATTTCAAATACGAGAAGTACGCGCATCTGCAGCCTGACAGACAACAGTAAACGCTGCGCAGGGTTAAAGGGTGTGTATGCTGATTGACATACAATTGTTCGCAGTAGGGCATTGAATGCCAGTGCACGGACATCTTCCAGTTGATTTTCCTTTCTGTGAGTAAATCTTAACTCCTTTCTTCACAGTCAATCCGGTATATATCAAGATGCTGCAAAAGACCATTCAAGATTTGGATGCCTACATTAAGGCAACAGCCGTCGTGTACGACCACTCCAACACCAAACTCGTTAGCAGAAAGACTAGAGTCAGCAGGCGTAGGAAGGAGGCGTTTCTTTCTGTGCTTCCATACAGGAGACCGTCATCTCATCACCACTCCCATGAGAGAAAGACATCGTCATCATTGATTACCCGGAAACCAAGAAGTAAACATGCGAAAGAAAGGTGAGAGATTTCGTAAAATATAGGCAGTGTGTATTTTAGACGGATTTTCATTGCCACGAGGTTGCATTCAGCATGTCATCTTCTACAATCATAACAGAGCTTAAAAATGTTCTTAGCTAAATGATTATGCTTGCAAAAGCGAATACAAAAACCCAACCCTTCTCTGCTTAAATGCTACAAGGTATCTTGTTCACAATCAAAGCGAACTTCTGTTCCTTGATGTTTTCTGATATAATAAAAACAATAAATAATTTAGTCTGATTTTTTGTTTAAACTTGACCGACAATATATGGATGCAATACTCTTTTCCATTCCACATGAACACATGATTTATATAAAATGTAAATAACACTTTGTTGCCAAATAAAGGCAGGGGATTTGGATTGTTTCTGGCTTGAAACAACCATCAAAAACATATATACAGCTGGACTCTGACTAAGATTCACTAGCTCAGGTCACATTCGGGTCATTTTTCTCTCATGCTCAGGATTTTCCCCCCCCCTCCCCCTTCTTACTGTATGGCTTTAGGTTTTTGAGGCAAAAAAAAAAGATAAGAAAACAAAATCGCTTTCGTCCCGTGCGTAAGGGGCGAAGGAAATGCGTCTGCACGAGTGCGGACTGTGTGCTTCGGGGTACCATCCACCAAATAACGGGCCAAATCGCGGTTTAGCCCGGCGATTTGGTTGATAATAACCCAAATCGCACAGGTATTTGGTGTCACTCGTGTGGAAAGGAACCCTGCTAATTTCCTTCGACCCCGTTGCACGGGACGTAAGCAATATTTTGTAAGTCTTTATTTTGTGCATCAAGAAAGAAAACGCGATTAGGATGAACAGTATTACCTAGACGATTTAAGGACCATTTCTAAAGAAAACAAGCAAAAAATCTGGGAGGAATCCACAGAAAATGACCCGAATATCTTTACCCCTGTAAATTTCCAATGCCTTTTATTCGCATGCAGACATTTAATTATAATTACTGGAAAAGCTTTTTTTCGGAAGGTTAAAACAAAATTAATCGAAACGGTGGGGCGTGGCGAGCAAGGGAAATTTTCCCTCAACTTCCAAGTTAAACTCAACACAGAAATGTTAATGCAACATGAACATGAACTTGTGTATATCTTTATTTCAAGAATAATTTTGGTTGAAATAAAATCACCTTGTTACACCGGACCTTTGTGACTAAAAACTACTTTCATCATATTCCGTTTTTGCTGAAACCAAATTCCGAACCTTTTGTTTCTGTTATTGCAATCTTTTTGTTGACAGTGTCATCAGTAACCCGAAACAGAAGTTGAACATCTCTGTCCAGACTCCCGAAAATGCCAACGATGATGCACCACAGACGCTTAGCTTCCAATTGGATCCGGAGACATCCGTCCAATCGCTAAAAGAGCTCATTCAAAAGCAGATTGGTGTCGAGGCGCGGCGTCAGTGTCTGTACATCCGGCGAAACTTTCAGGTCGGTATGTTTTAAATTCACCAAACAATTAAATTTGAAAGATACGAAGTTTGCGCAAAGTTGCATGTTGACAATGAGAATGAAAATGTAACCTGGAAAAATGACACACTATGGGGGAACTCGTACTAAATAGACTCTTTAAGGATTGATTAACCAAACTAAACTAAACTCAGGATCTTTGAAGGGAACGGTCGCGAGGAAATTGAATTAATAGAGACACAGACACCGAATCTATCAGGATGCTCAAGTATAGCTCACACTCTGGCTGAGTTTCCATGACACACCACATAATGGATCCTGGAACTCCTCTGGAGGTGCAATGCTACGGTAGGCGATCTAAGATACAGGTGTAGACGACTCCTGCACTCTCCTCCTATACTGCCGCATAGAGCCCATAGTCTCGTTATGTCTAACCAGCTTGAGGACCTGCCCATTTCCAAGTGTTTCCATGCTTTGATGAAGACTGCGATAAATGTCCTCCCTCATTTTTCTCGGGGAAGTACAAGGGCCAAAATAAAATCAAAATATAAGATAAGGGACCAACAATAACTAAAGAGCTATATTACTTAAAACCAGAAACATACGACCGAAGACCAATAACGGGCTTAAACATGAAACCTAAACCAAAACCTAAAACTAAAGAGAAAACCTAAACACAATATTTAAGAAACCCCTAAAACCAACACAGTGTGTAATAATGGACCTTTAAAGTACGCTTTGACTGAAAATCTGTAAATAAGAAAATACAAAATACATAATAAGAAAATGATTTAATAAATATTCATTAACAGATACGCAAGTTCAAGTACAACAAAAAAGGGAGACACTAATCCCATAGTTTCCGGATTAGCACATCATAAAACCATGCATGCTTACTGTGAGAACAAAGAAACTCCTGTGTATTACCGCATATGGTGGAGAATTTAACAAAATTTGATACATGTAATGCTTAAACTATGCAAAAAGGAAAATATGAAAAAATCCCAAATCAAAGTCAAAGGTCAACCTTACTCAATAAAACCTCGTCAAAGATTAAAGTGACTGATTCAACTTTACTCTAATTATAAAACCTAAAAAAATTCAAAAAGAAAAACAGAAATTAAATTTACAAAAAAATGCACATGATAAAAAGAGGACACATTTATGACACAATAAAATTCACCAAATGACTCCGAGCAGACAAAACTCAAGCAGAGCACACTCCAGTTACGGGAAACATGGGACATTTTATTTTAACAGGGGGACACACTACTAAGAAAGGGGCAAAACAAAAATGATTTTCTTTTTGCTAATGGGGGCTACTCCTATTCCAACACTTTAAATACATGAACGTTTACAAGATAAACTTGACCCTGCCACACTAACACTTTATTTTTTCAATGATATGTCTCGAAGGTAAATTTACTAGTCGTTTACGAAGTCATTTTCTTTTAAAATTATCTACTGTCAGCTCTGTGACTTACTCACACTTGAGGAGAATGGTGTCGACAAGGATGAAATCATTTCTCTCCGTCTATCTGAAGACGATGAGAATTGCAACGAAGTACCGAAAGGTAAATGGCCATTTCTGGAATAAAACACGTTCCTATGGAGATTTTGTTATCATTACTTAGCCGTTTATAAAAAAAAAACGAGTTGTTGAAAATGTTTCACTGAAGGCTTGGTTGAAAATTCTTTTGGCAGACAAAGCCGCCATTGATGATGAGTACCTCAAGGACTTGTCTTTAAAAATTCAATCATCATGGAAGGAAGTGGCCAAACACCTAGGATATGAAGAAGCGGAAATTGCAGACATTCAAACCACCAATGAAGGTAGCACTGAAGAGAGCCGTCACATGCTACTCACTTGGTGGGAAAAGACAACAGATGGCGACGAAGCAGCTCAGAAGCTGAGACGAGCATTGGAGGCCATCGGGTTGACTGATTTGGCCCAAAATGTACCAGGTGAGCTAGAAGATGAAGACTAGACTTTATATCAGACGCTGTATTGTCAGAAAAAAACTGCCTTGCTAATTAAAAAAAAAGTTCGAAATTAGTTAAACATTATTTGTAAACAATAATTATGATGCACTCTGATCCCTACTTTTATCAGTAACGGGCTATTCGAGAGACGAAGCAGCTGGACCCGAGCCAGAAAAGCGTCAAGAGGCAGGAGAAGACGAGGAGAGCAAACAAAACGGGGCGGCATCAACCGAGTTAGAGAAACTGAAAAAGGAACAAGTTGGCAATCAAGACAAACCTCGGCCTTTCTGGTAAAACAAGATGAAATGCTGTTATTCGTACTGCCCCCGTGTTTGAAGAGTTTCCTCAGCATCAAATGTTGTTTTGAAGACAGCTACAATTCCTTGGAAAACAGTCTTTTCTTACCTAAACAATAGTGTAGATAATGTGTACAATAATGGTTTATGATATTTGACTTCATTCATATAATTCAATGTTATTGAAATTATTCAAAGGGCCTTAACATGCAAATCCTCCTTTCTGACAGTTTCAGATATGTGCAAGTCTTCATCCAATGCCACGTGTCGCACAAAGCAAAGACACTTTGTTTTCGAATGAATGCAGAGACATCTATCTTTACCTTGAAACATATGATAAACGAGAAAATCAGTGTCCAGCCTCAACAACAACGACTGTACATCCGAAGGAACTTTCGTAACTTTGAGGTAAAGATGGCTCCATATTTTACAAATTAAACATGTCGTAAAGTATACCAATCAACCTTTGATCAAATTAAAGGCAATGCATCTTGGGTTTTAGTTACAATCTCTTCTGTTTCAAAATAACATGAGGGTATATTAGATAGTGCTGCTTCTGATGTCAGTACATAGAGTGGTTTTTTTTTATCACCTGCGTAGAAACAATCAACAATTAGTTGTTTGTTTTAGCCCCAATGAATTAGTTTCACAATAAAAAAAGTCAAGTTTATTCTTGACAATTTTTTTTACCCGTGTTTTGCAATCCCAACCACCAAAGTGTCGTTTTAAAAACATTGGTTCCAAAGATTGTGTATTTTATCAGGATCTTAAACATTGTTTTGCCAGCTTTGTAACTTGCTGACACTTCAAGATTGTGGAATTCATCAGGACGAGAACATCTCACTCCGTCTGTCTACTGATGGCCTACTGGGCGGTGGACCAAAAGGTAAATGCTTATGGGAAATGTTGCTAGACTGGGAAAAACCTACGCGCCTTATTATTTTAGCTGGGGATGCCCCATCCGCCTCTCTAACTAGATTCATGTCACGGAAAAAGAAACGGCACAGGCAACTTTTCCAAATGCCTCCTGGAAAGTGCAGTTATGAAAATATGATCGACGCTCTATCCTCTATTTTTTTGTCAACATGGTGAGTAGCAGTGGTGCAAGAACTTGTAGTTAAAGAGCGAGATAAATTAATATGCTGTACCGCCTCCTCCGCTGTAATTTCTCACCATTTCCCAGCATTTGCTACCCACTTCATAAGAGATAAACCAAAAATAGAAAAAAAATCAGATATTTAAACAGTCAGCAGAAATCACATTAATATTTGCTTTTACTTCAACTTAAGTGAAAAGTTTATTGCCTTTTATTAGGAAATGGCAGCTATCAATCACATACTCATATATACGTCTTTAGGTTTAAGTAAAAAGGCTTCTTTTTGTTTGGCAGACAAACACCTTGCTGATGATCTATTCTTCCGGGACTTGGCTTCCAAAACTGAATCATGCTGGGAAGAATTGGCCAAATCCCTGAGATATGAAGATGCAGCAATCAAGCAATTCCAAACCACCTCCCAAGAAAACACAGAAAGGAGCCTACAGATGCTGCTTTCTTGGTGGGGAAAGCAAACAAATCGCGAGGAAAGATTTCAGAGTTTGAGAGACGCGTTACATTCAATCGGGCGTGCCGAACTGGCCTCAATGATCCCATCAGAAGAGCAGAGACAGAGACATGAGGACGTTGGTCATCGAGACAAACCTCAACCAGAGCTACAAGTGGGAGAGCCCAAAAAACGGAGCAGGCAGAAAGAGACTACGACATCTGAGGGGCAGAGACCGAGACGGGAGGACGTTGGTCATCGAGACAAACTGCAACCAGAGGTACAAGTGGAAGGGGCCACAGAACGGAGCATGCAGGAAGAGACTACGACATCTGAGGGGCAGAGACCGAGTAAGGAGGACGTTGGTCATCAAGACAAAGCTCAAACAGAGGTACAAGAGGGAGAGGCCAAAGAACGGAGCATGCAGGAAGAGACTACGACATCTGAGGGGCAGAGACCGAGACAGGAGGACGTTGGTCATCAAGACAAAGCTCAACCAGAGGTACAAGTGGGAGGTGCCAAAGAACGGAGCATGCAGGAAGAGACTACGACATCTGAGGGGCAGAGACCGAGACAGGACGTTGGTCATCGAGACAAACTGCAACCAGAGGTACAAGTGGGAGGGTCTGAAGAACAGAGCAAGCAGAAAGGGACTACATCATCTGAGAGACAGAGACCGAGAAAGGAGGACGTTGGTCATCTAGCCAAATCTAAAGCTGAGGCTCACGTGGGGTTGACTGAGACAGAAAGCAAGTCAGGTAAATAATTGCAAAGAATCCAATATGCCGTACACTGTCTTGCCTTCTATTTTCATTTTTGTCTCTCTGTATTATAAGGTTTCCATTTATGTCAAAGATGAAATGTTTTTTTTTTTATTTTTATTTTCTCTTCTTCTCACAACTAACTTTCAACTGTTAAATGTTAGGACAGATATAACTCCTTTATTTCTAGGTTCTGACAATATCTTGTCAGCGTGTAGACTTGTTCTAGGCGCCTTCATTATCGAGACTGTAAAATTGGCGGGAAACAAATTTATCTTCTACGGGCTAGCATTATTTGAAAGCCTGCCTGTACAAATCAGGCGATTGAATTTGTTTGGATTGGAAATAACTAAATATTTTGTAGTCAGATTCCACGGCCAAACCCATGACATCAGTGATCGCAATGTTGCAATTGTCCAGGAAGTTTGACATTTTTCTTTTTGGCTCAAAAATGAATTTTCGTTTTTAAATTGTAAATTATCAAGTACTACTGATCGATAACAATAAATTTCACTTTTTGGGTATTTTTTTGGATCTGGTTATTGAAAAGGAAAGATGAAGTCCGACAGCCACTCCGTTACCAACTGACGCATGCGCATTGTGACAATTGACTATGCTTTAAAATTTGTGAAGTAATTATTTTCTAAATAGATATGAGTGTTTCAATGATTCATTCAAAAAGAAAAAGAATAGCAAACATAGTTTAATTGCTATAAAATAGAAATTCGGAGGAAAAAAGCAAGAAAATCTATCGAACTTGAAAATAATTCGGCAACAAAACATGATGTAGACGCAAACTTTATGCCACAATCTAATATTACAAATTGAAAATTACCGATGTATAATTCCACAGGAAAACCATATTTTGTAAGATTGCGTATAAATTGCATCATAAGGTACGGTTTCTAATTTATTTCACTATGCTGGTCCATTGTGATGCAGTTGGAACGTAACAACCGCTTTTCTTTTACGGATGTCCACATAAGGTAAACGCGCGCAGTCGTTCACAATGTATGTTTCCGATGTAACAAATAATGCACTCGCTTTATTAATGGTTCAATTTTTTTTTTTCATTTATAGCTACTCTACCTGACGACAAATCCATTTGGGATCAATCTAAGAAGATTGGAACACACTGGGAAGAATTGGCCTTAAACCTGAAATTTTCTAAAGAAGATATTAATATAATTAAGGCTGATCATCCCTTCTATACTGTAAGGCAGTGCTTTGAGATGTTAAGCACATGGTGGAGGAAGCAGGACAATTACACAGAAGCAAGACAGACGTTGGAGAAGGCTCTGATCGATTCGGGCAGGAACGACTTGGTTTGGGGCACATCAGGTATGCTCATGCAGTTACTGAAGAAAGACTGGCAAAACGTACACTAACATGTATTGCTCTTTAAATGGTTAATGCAATGTACTTTCTGAATGCTGTCCTTCAAAATGCACATTTGTGTCCCATTTAACCTCGTTTTTAATTTTCGTTTTTCCATTTTGAAAAGTATCATGGTGCAGCAACCTCAATGTTACAGCTATTTTAGCAGAAGAAGTTTATAATCTTTGATATTTCGTAGTCATCAATTTTCTTTTCTATGATAATTCGTTGTGGTGTTAGTACATGGCAGTAAACCAATAAGCAACACCTCACAAATGCTTTCAATGAGGACATTGTGGGCTTACAATATTTGAACAGTGCGATACACCTATTAATTATTTATTCGCTGGATCTTACGATTTGGACAAAAACAAAATTGAGTGTGGCTATTAGTTTTTGTCAATGAGGCACTCTACCTTTACACGAATTATGCATGAACGTATGTACATGACCGGTATGCACTTTCCTCAGTTATATGTCATTAACTTCAAAAAGAACAGAATATTTATTTATACCAGATTTTTTATATTCTTTTCTTTTGCCATTTTGGGGTATGGGTATCCCCCGCGACACCCACGACTCAGTACAAAATAACCGTGTACATAATTCATTTCATGCGATCAAATGCCTTTGAGTGGTTTCTTTGATGGAATCATTTTCTGCGGGCGGAAATTGTCATAATTTACTTCGATTTTCTTTTAATTACAAAATGGGAAAAGAAAATACACTCTAAAAAAGCATTAGTCAGATTTGACTAGAAACCAGTCAAATTTGACTAGCCATTCAGGGTCAGCTGGGTGCAACTGAAAATCAGTCAATCTGACTAGATTTTTCCAGTCAGTATTATTGACTTTGGAAAAATAGTTATGCAAGTAACTGAAATTGGAGTCGAACCCAACTATTTTTTTCCAGTCAAAGTAGGAAACTTTGCATGTTTAACTAAATTCCTAGTCAATTTTCAATTACTAGGAAAACCAGTCAATATTTTGACTAAGTTGTTTTTAGAGTGTATGTAGTCATATCCTCTAGTCAGTGAAAGATGATAATAACATGAAACATTTCACGGATAAACTAAGCAGACCCTTTGCATATAATGCAACCATCTTGGAGGGGCACACATTTCTTCCTTAGCAATGCGCAGGTGTATAGACCGCTTGATGATTGTTACACAGACAAGTGAGTGCATACTTCAATCGTTAATTATTCACGCCGCTAGTAGATCACATTCGCACCTTGCTAAATTGGCATGCAAGGTTAACTGATCGGATAGAAATAATCACCAAGAGCACTTATCTGAAAGAATGCACTCAAAGATATAACATTTTTTTTGGCATGGAACAACTGCCAAAAAAAATACGTTCTACTGATAAGACGAATCAAGCCATTGGAATATCGTTAAGAAACTTTTGAAAAAAAAGGAAATAAAATCAATACCTTTCACGCCACCGCCGCTGTAAAAAAAAAACCTGGTGTTGCCTTTTTTTCTTTTAAACGGGAAGAGCGCGATCCAGTCTGAGTGATGCTGCTGATTAGTGCGGAAATGAATTAAAAACCAGGTATACTACAACAGGTAGCTACGTTCAGTTAATTCCCTTGGTTGATGGCGACATAAGATATATCAAGGATTATAGAGTTGCAATTAGAAAAGGGTGACCAGGATGACATTGAGGGCGATGCTGGGGAGTATGGGGATACTTTTCTCAAAACAAGAGACGGTTCAGTGACCATTTTGTATAGGTCACTTGAGATGGAGAAGTCGACCATTATTGGCAAAATTGAATATGACTGGGCTATCGTAGATTTTCCACTTTTATTTCTTTTGAAAATGTCTGCTCTAGACCAAACGTCGGCGCCTGTTAAGTCAGTGTTTTCTCAACCTTTAGCAGACGACACGGTCGTAAATAAGCCTGGTTTGGAAGCATTCATTAAAGACAATGGTAGTAAATAGAGTGCTCATTCCCACAGATGGTTTTGATGAATTCAGGACAACAAACCTCGAACCAGAGAAGTTCGGTTCTGTTCAATCAAAAAGTTGGCAAAGAATGTTTTGAACGACCTTAACATTTCAGGCAATGAGGAGTTGGTATGCATACAATGTACGCATATCGCAGCCAGTAAAATCTTACCTTTTTTTATAATGAAATGCTGAGGAAAAAAGACCAAACGTTGAAAAGATTCGGTAAACGTTATTACAGAATATA